CCTACACTGTAATAGAGACAAAAGGTTCCTATGGATTATAGCCTCCTTCATTAGATGGTCCTGATTGATCCCTAGGGAAGGTCTGAATGTACACTGAAAGAAGCATGAGTCCCAGGGAAAAAAACGTAATCTCAATGCATGAAAGAGCACAGGCAAGCTACTTAAGTTTATTAAAAGGTTGACTATAAACCTTAATTTTCCTTTAAATATAATACAGTTTCACACATTCCAATCATCACACTGAATATAATTTCAGTTAGTATTACTTACTGCCCAGCAGTTTAGAGCTTATGGTCTGGTTTACAGAACTAAAATATTCACTCAGATTTTTAACAAGAGGCATCTTTTTAACAGCTTTAAGTTCACAGGGATGAAGGTCTCTTTTCAAAGCTACTGTGTTAAAACTGTATGACCACACAGATCAAAGAAGCATCTGTTCTAAAACATCTCACAATATTGGAACAGAAAACAATTGTATTCAGCTGCACATATAAAACAGCTATTTCTAGAAATGCCTGAGTGGTCCCAGTCATGTAATAATACTGCACAGTGCCTCAGTGCATCTATTTTCAGGTCTCAGCACAGCTGTAACACTAAGTAAGGCACAGCAAGGCAGCAGCTGTGCATCTGATACCTCCTGCAAGAGTATTTTGTCTCTCCCACTTCTCTGCAGGGAACCTTGAAGAAGGCAAAAACACAGCGGGTATTCTGCAACACTCACCTCTCTGGCAGCCAAGACTATGGTTGTTAATTGGGAACGATCACCCCATTCTGCTAAAAACGTTAAAGTAAAAGCTTGAACAAAGATTGGAGAAATAAAATGTAGCCACTTCTTCTGAGGTATGGTGGTGCCTGGCCCTGATTCCACATCTCCTGGCCCGTTTAACAGTTTAGTTCTCTGAAGCTGTGGAGGACAAGGGAAAACAAACACAAGATTAGAAATGTCATCTAAACAACCCAAATGAAATCCTTAAGCAGTAAAGGTAACCATTTAGTATCTGGAATGCTGTTAGCTGCTGGCTGCTGCATTAACAAGATATTATTTCTATTAGACACCATTTAAAAAAATAACTACATATATATGCACACATATATGTGTGTATACATATCCACACACACATATATATACTCATATGCACCTCTAACTTCCAGCTACTATCCATCTTGTACTGCTTGCACTTACACAGCAGTTTCAGGAGGGATGGCATCTGTTTTTTAACCATAGATTTCCTCCTATTTTTAAAGTAGAGATTCCTCTCTTCCCAAGTGGTGGCTCTCAAACTTGGTTGTGATAAAACTAATGAAAAAAAAAATCTTAAACGAATTAAGACTTATACTCCACACTATTCTTTAGAAATGGACAAGTATATTTAGAAAGTTTACGGTAACAGGAACTTTTGCTGTGACACTACAAACCTCAGCATTAATCTGCCTTATCAAAAAAAGAAATAAAAGTAGAGGCAACAGCAAACCATTGATGTCCTCTCTGTTAGTAATGTATTTTAAAAAAAGCACACCAAAACCAAACCAAATACTTCCAGATGAAAACCACACTCTATGGAGAAAGTCCCATTTCTCTTGAGAAGCAAGGCTTGCCACAGAACTAGAATTGCCAGGTGAAACAGCCTGCAAGGGCCACTTCTGTCCCATTTACTGCACATTTTCTGTGTCACATATCACAGACAGAGCCGAACATTTCAAACACGACAGCGCCGTTCTGCAGCTTTGCAGCTGAAACTATTTCATCAGCGATAATTCACAAAAAGTTTTATAACTTACTTCCTCATCTTTTTTTTTAATTTCTGCTTGAACTTCCTCCAGCTCTTCCTGACCCTCATCTGGACTCATTTTCAAGCCTTCCCGAAGCATTCGGATGCCAAAAATTGCAAACAGTGCTGTTGACACATAGTATGTGTATACACGAGGAATGACTGTAGTGGCATAGCCAAATAAAACTGAAAAGAAAACAAATACCTCATTTAAAAAATAAACATGAGGATCATAATTTGTTTTTCCCATATCTAAGAAATGCTTACAATCAAAGTCTGCAATTCAAATATCCCCCGATAAATACATAGTGTCTTCTGTTAGTTTTATGTTTGGTTTTTTTTTTTTTGCAAAATAACAAGTCTAGAAACCCCAATCATTACTAGTCATGCCAGAGACTGAAGTCGATTAATGTTCACACAAGGCACACCAGGCAATGCTGATGTGCTGCTCTTCCCGAGATCCAGTATACGCAACATTATCCTTCCCATCAAGGACTAGTCCTGCCTTTCTCCCAGAATGCCATGAACCTATCATCTGTAATCAGGTTAGATTAGTCACAGTGTATACCAGCCAGTTCCACTTGTATATATAACTACACATTGTATATACAACTACACATATATATAACTACACTCTTTACAATCATTTATCAGAGAAAGCTAAAGATTTTCTGCAGTTAAATCTACCAGACATAGTCACAAAGCATCCGGCTGTGTGAATCCATGTCTGCTTTCCTTTGCCAAGTGCAAATACCTGCACATTACCATTCCCTTCTCTCCCACACTCCCCACAAACACACATGACCAACTTTGATCATCCTTTAATTTAAAAGCACCAATCCCACTCAAAGATCCAAAAGCTATCTCCACAGTGTATCTGCATTTACAGGTATTGAAGGGAATTGAACTAAGCCAAAACTAGGTCTCAGACATGATGAAATAGGTATCCAGGACAAGATACTTCTTCAAAAATTAAGAATAGTTCGCATTTTTTGGACAAAAAGGCCTGTATAAATGAGAGGAAATTAAAACTTCACCCCTAACATTCAAGGCTGCTTGGACCATGCACTCACAGTTGTCTCCATTCTTTTACTCTTCATGCAATTAGCTTAAAGGAAGCATATCACTATGTGTGGTTTCTTGCACACACTTGGTTGTAAAAAGCACTGCTACATAATCTGGAAATTAATCCATATCGCCACTAACAAAAGTAAAACTATGAGACTAAAATTAACCAGGCTGTACTATTAGTAAACATGGCATATACATACAGGCATGCATGAATAACAGTATTAGTTGCACAGCTAAATAAATAAGGAGTTCAACTAAACTTCTTTTAAAAGACTGAGAATACTAAAGCAATGCAAGAAACTATAAAAAAGTGGGGTTTTTTCCCTAGAATTACTTGCATGCACAAACATAGACGTAATGAAATTATCAGAACAGCAAGGTGGCTTTTTTTTTATCAAGCACAGCTTGCAAAAACACCCCAATTAGTTATTACTTGCTTGTGAGTTTACGTGAGCATGTGTTCATGAAATCAAGGTGGGCAAAACCCCCAGACACAGTTTGTACAAAACAAAGGCGGGGAGAGAGGGAGGGGGGCAGGGAAAGGCTCCTTTCGGAAAAGAACCTAATAGTTGGGAACCTCTAAACTGAGGGATAAAGCAAAAAAGAAAACTTTTATGAAAAAGCATCAAGAAAGATCAAAGAAAGACTTCATATAGAAAAACTGGAGAACCGTAATAGGCAGTAGGAAAGAGATAGCAAGATTTACAGAATAGCGCATCACCAGGGGTAGTAAATAACATTAAATGAAGCACGCAGTGAAAGAAAAGTCAAAAGACTGTTACATTGAGTAAAAGAAGAAACTCACAGTGCTATCGTTATGCACAGTGCGAACGGAAACTGCACTAAGACTGCAATAATAATTGCAGCAGTGTATATAGCAATAGCTACACACCCAAAAACCATTCACAGGAACACTTCAGAAGCCTGAAGGCAGTTAATCTGCTGTCTCTAGTGCATATAAACCAACAAATGCTATTTCAATTATTTCTGAAACAGGCATGGTAGAAGTGAGCACATACACAGCAAAACTTATGCGGCATCCGATACACCTGAATACTGCTCCATTTTACAATGATGGCTACGTAAGCACTCGAAGCTACAGGTTCCTCAAGCGCCACCTGATACTTCGCTTCCCCTCCCAGCTCCTGGCTCTGTCATTACCATCCATCCCAAAGCATTGTGGCAGAATGTCACCTTCCACTTACGCAGCTCCCAGCACAAATGCAAACAGTTACACGTACAGGGAGACAAGTCAGAAAAGGGAAATTTGTCATCATATTAAGAATCTTTCACTTTTGGAGGAAAAACAGAAGCCACTCTGGCATTTCCTTCAGATACGCTAATTTTAACAGGAGTTAAAAACAAAAAGGAAACCAGTGGCCCAAAAATCAAAGGATATGCTTAGGCTCCCAATCCCATTCCTCTTCCCTAAACTCATATTGACTTCTAAGGAGCAAAACCACCTCATTAGACATAAGAGTCTAAATATTGAATTTGAGACATAGTCCCGAGGAAAACCTTCACACTTTCCTCAAAGCAGAAAACTATGTGTACCTGCTACCTTCATTTAAATTTCAATTACAACTTATTGATTAATACACACCAAGCATATTTTAATAGATGAAACAAAAAGAAGAGTGCCAACCTGACAAACAGGTCATCAGTCCCAAGGCAAGCATAGCACCAGCCAGTACAGTCAAACGGTTGTACCGCATTGCCATGATGGCTGCAATGAAGAAGGTCTTATCCCCCAGTTCTGATACGATGATGACCGATATAGCAGCCACAAACGCATGAATAAAGCCCAAGTTAGTCTTGTCAGCTGATTCTTCACTGACAACGTGAACTGGAGCAACCGGTGAGGACCCTTTCTGTAAGAGGGAGGGTAAAAAAAAACCAAAAAACACCACAATAAAAAAAACCACTAGTTAATTAGGCTTGACTGGTTAGTTTGCAGAAGTACTGAGCTTGGTATTCCTCCTACCACTCGATACTGCACAGCATGACATTTTACATGTATATACCTCTCATGCAGCATTAACGGTCATTAACTAGTTACTGGCTGCCTCCTACCTCAAATCTCTAGGTAGGCCCTTAGCAAGAAGATTGTGCACTGATTATTAAAGCAGTATTTCACTATGCACACTACTACCAGAACACAAGAACCACTATAACAACAAAATATGGGGAAATCTGCTTTAGTTGAGCTCTAACATTGCTGTCTTTACAATGCCTGGGTATTTAATTTACAACCTTGATCAAACAATTTTCTAATATAAAGAATTAAACTCTTCAAACTAAAACTGAGCAATCAGGATAGCTCAGGAGGAATATGAAGTCCTTTCTAAAATTTTGCACAAGTTTTTCCTCGGCTTTTTTTGTATGTGCTCTGTTTGTTGAAAACTACCTTTAAGACTTCCAAGTGGTCAAACCGGACCAGCACATTGTAGATCTCACTTGCTCAAGTGTTTATTTTTAGAGATTAAGATACCTACAATCAAAAGCAAGACCCAAAATATGGAAGCCGGTGTTCACACGCTAAGCCAGAGACAGCTAAGCTTGTTTCAGCACACCTACCAGCAGAGACAGACTGCAACGTGTTTTAACAGGGTGACTTTCCCAGCATTCCACTTCTAGCAGTGCTGAAAGTTTTTTGGGGTTGATTCTAAGTTTCTCCATGCTCTCTACGATACACCACGACTTCCCAGAGTTCCTTCACCTTTAGCAGCTCTGTGAATTTTTGGGTTTGATCTTCAAAACTTGGCATGCTCTACATGCTACAGCAAACCAGACAGCAATAATTTTTTAATACCTCTGTGTGACCAGCCGGCATTAGAATCCCCTAACCAAGAACAGCACTTTAAAAGTTTTAATGCAAAGAAACTAATCTTGAATATCGAGTTAAAACCGGCAGGTTTTGAGCAGCAACAAAGCTGCTTTCATCTCTGCGAGGAAGACCTGGAGAGGTGGGTTCTCCCCCTCGGCATGCAGTAAGCAGGCTGGCACCAAAGTACTGACTGTTTGTCATGTCGGGGCTAAGTTTCTCTCTTCTAGCAGGAAAAACAATAAATATCCAAAATAAAAAACCCTACACTCCCCGCAGCTTTCTCTTTTTCTACTAAAAAGGTGTAATTTAAGGCTCGGTTGGCCTCTGGTTGCCGTCCTGCAGGCCGGGCCCGCCCCACCG